AGGCAGGTGGACAGGGCTCAGCTGCCGGGCTCCCCATCCACCATACAACGTCCCTGCCCTGGCCTTCCCACTCACCAATCGTATCCGTTTCGCCAGAGAGCTGGATGCACCGATGCTCTAGCTCCTCCACACGGTCTTTCAGATCCACCTTCTCCTGCATGAGCTCTGTAAAGCGGCTCTGCAGCCAACAAGTAGGCTCAGGGCTCAGCAGCCACTGGCCCCGCCCACCCCACCCATGCTGGGGGAGATTCGCTCACCTGCAATTTGTCCATGGCCACCTGGAGGGTCTGATGGGTCTCCACAGGCACGCTGTCCACTCCAATGCTGGGGCCTGGGGCCTCCTCCAGCTCGCGCGGGGACGGGGCTGCCCGCTGAGCCAGGCGCCGGCAGCGCAGCTTTTGCTCCTTCAGCTGCCCACGCAGCTCTGCCTGCTCCTCCTGAGCACTGGCTAAGGCCGAGTTTAAAAATGCCACCTGAGGGCAAGAGGTGCATGTGTGCTTTTGTAGGGGAACGCTCAGGACACCGAGGGGCATGGAGGCAGAGAGGATCTCCACTCCTTGGGGCCTCTGTGGGCACACCTGTGGTTCAAGGATTGCGTGGTGTCTGAGCATTGGCTCCCAGGGGAGGTTGGGGATCAAGAGAAGTCAGAGGGCAGAAACCAACAGGTAAGAAGGGTGTCTGGGAGGGACCTGAGAGAGAGGCAGGAAGGTGGGACAGGGAAGGGGCAGGGAGGTCAGCTCACCATGGCCTCTCGGCTATCTAGGTCCTCTGGTATGCTCAGCTTTGGCTGGGGAGCCTCCTTGTCCTCCTCCTCACTGTCCAGTCCTTCTCCTGTTGGGGGCGGCCAGAAGGTCCTCAGGCAACCCCCCAAAGGAGATGGAGCAGCCCACGAAGAAACAAGGCCCAGCTCTGTCCCACCTAACTGTGCGACCCTGGGCCAGCCAGTCCCCCGAGGAAAAGGACTCGCTGTCCTAAAGGTCTCTTCCAACTCCGTTCTATGCTGCTAAAAGTCCCCCTTCTCCTTGGGCTCTGTCCTCTCCCTCTGGGCAGTCCCAATTACCTTCCCCAGGCGGAGCCATCAGGCTCAGCTGGGCCTGTAGCTTCTGGTTCTGCTGGTTGGCAGCTTCCAGTTGCCCCTAAGGGGCCAGGAAAGAGAGTAAGAAGGGACACGGGTTGCAGGCCTTCCCACTCGGGGGCCCAGCACTCAAATCCCTCACCTGGGTCTCCTGCAACTCCTGGCGGACCATGTCGGCCTGCGCCTTGCCCTGAATTTCCTGCTGCTGCAGTTCATCAATGAGCTGGGTCTGCATCAGGACCTGCTTGTGCAGCATCTCTTTCTCAGCGGCCAGCTGCTGACAGGCGGCCACATGCTGGTGCAGGTGGCTCAGATACTCGTCCCGCTGCTGCTGCAGACTCTGGGCCTCTTGGCTCTTCAATTCCATCTGCGGGAAGACCCCAGGAGTAAGGACATGTGGTGGCTTGCTTCCAGATTCTGAGCCCATAGCTTGGGGAGGTTGGGCACAGACGCCTGTGCCTGATGTAACCACTGAAGGGCTTGGCCATCTGCCCAGGCCCCTGGCTTCCTCACTCTAGGGCCTCAGTGACTGATTCCTTTGCCCAGAGCCCCATGTCACCTTCACCCAGCCTCACACCTCATAATGACCTGCTTTCTATTTTCTATTTTAACTTTGGGTCACTGACTGGTGGAAGAGCCGACTGCGCCAACTGACACCTACCTGTTAAGCACACACTAAGTGCCTGACACTGTACATGCCTGACTCTCGCTGAAGCCTCAATGCTGCTATGAGGGAAATGCTAATCTCCCCTCAGAAGTTAAGGAAACTGAGGCTTAGAGATGTGAACAGTGACCAGTGAGGCTGAAATTAGCATCCAGGGCTCACTGCAAGGAGCCGCCCATCATCCACATCTCTTCTCTAATTGGGCTCAATGCCTCCATGAGGGATGACAGTGCAGGACTACCTATTGTACATCTAAAGGTCAGATGTCAGGGAGCAACAAATAGTCACAGGCTCTGAAGAATTCTGGGCTCACCTGTGTCTATGCTGGAACTGCCTCTATTCTGGCCCTGGCATCCAGCTCATCCCTGCCCAAGTGCCTCCCTGTGCCCGCCCCCCACCAGAGGCTGGTGCCTCTCCCCGGGCCCTTCTCAGCTGGAGCAAGGTTATTACCGTCTCCTTCAGCTCCGTCAGCTTCTCCTGCAGCTGGCCCAGCTGCTTGGCCAGCTCCTTCTTGGTGTGCTGCTCTGACTGCAGTGAGCTGGTAATTTCCATATTCTCATTGCTCTGGAGAGAAAGAAGCCATCAGCGGCCACCCAATGCAGTTGGAGACCCCAGAACATGGTATCCCCATCCCACAGCTCAGAGAAGGGTGGAGACAGGTAGGAAAATCCTCCCCCACACGCCCACACGCATGGAAGCAGGGCTCTCTGGGTCATAGGGAACCTCCATAGGCACGGCTTCACTTAGGGCCTGCACCAACCCATTACAAGGTGGAAAAACAAACGCTCAGAGGGGTTGTGTCTCGTCCTGCGCCTAAGGACTTGACAAGGAGGAGGCAGGCAGGCCGGGCAAGCGGGGCTGCGCACCAGCCTGACGAAGCCATTCTGCAGTTCAGCCAGCTGTTCCTTGAGCTCACGGTTCTGGGAGAGAGCGCGGCTGATGGTGACGCGGTCATTCTGCATGTTCTCCAGAATTTGCTTCTGCTGTTCAGTCTGCTGATCCCAGCTCTCGGCCGCACGCTCCAGCTCCAGCAGCCGCTGCTCCTGCTCCCGATTCAGGCGACTCAGACCCTCGTTGTCTTGTACCTGGGCCTGCAGCTGCCCTGCCAGGCTCTCCAGTTCCTTTTGTAGCTGTTCAGTCTCAGCTTTAAGCTGCTGTTCCATCTCTGAGAGCCCTGCTGGGGGCTTCTTGGGCGGGGGAGCAGCTGAGGAAGGAAAAACACCATAAGGGCCTCTGGACTCTATAATCTCAAAAACCCTGTTCTTGATCCATGGCTCCTAACTCGGCCTCCTCGCCCCAGATATTGGTCTCCTGACTAATAATTCCTCACACTCACATGATGTTCCATCTTTCAAGACACTTTCAAATAGAGTTCTTTACATTTTTATGCTCAAGACGATTCGGTGGTTGACAGCAGGCACTCTACCCATTTTTTGCACATAGCGACACTGAGGCTCAGAGAGACTGGACGACTTGCCAACTCCTGGTACAGGCCTCTTTCCCTTTGTCACAATGCCCTTCCATCCACCCATCTCGGGGGCATTCTAGCCACCCTCCTCAGCTCCCCAACACAAGTCCTGCTCCCCGACCGCTCCAACCTCAGCTTACCTATCTGGCTCCTCAGTTCAGCCAAGCTGGCCTCCAGCTCCCGCACCTGATTCATGCTGTGATCCTTCTCGTCACTTAACTTGCGCATCTGCCCAAAGCATGGGAGAAGGAAAGTATGGAGGGGGGCGGCCATCTCCCTCTCTACCCCCATCTACAAAACACACACATCTGCCTCTGGCTGCATCCAGCAAGTGATCTGATTCCCATCTTATAGATGCCCAGAAAGATCAAGTAACCCATCTAAGGTGGGGTGATCTATCTGAGAAGGTAACGTCACCTTCTCTGTCATCTGCTGCATCCTTCGGCACCAAATGGCGTTTTCTTCTTTTATGTTTGCTGCGTACTGGTCTCTCTCTACCTGCAGTTGCTTCAGCGAATCCTGCAGCTGTAAGAATACATACAGAAGTTAGCAGGGGCTGCCACTGGGCCTCACCTGCTCCTGGTCACCAGGGGTCATCTCCTTCCACACCCCTCCCTGTGCAAAGCCTCACCTGCCCCACATATGTCTCCAGCTGTGCCTGCTCGTCCAGGGCCTGCTGTAACTGCTGCCTGCTATCATCAGGAGTTTCAGGTCTAGAAAACTGGATGGTGAAAAATGAGGTTAGATCTGGGGGACCCAGGCTGTTCCACGCAATGCCTCCCCAAAAGGGTCTGAGCTAGGAACATACAACTCAGGATCAATGAAGATTTCTATCCTCATGTTATTAGTACCACGTCCACACGGTTCACATTTACTAAATATTCATTGTAAACTATTCAGACAATAAGTGTTCAAAGTCCTCCCAACCTTTCCTCTAGCCCCCAATCCCACCAGTCTGGTGTGGGTCCCTCCAGGCCCTTTCTGTACATATGCAAACATGTTTAATTAACGTACATTAGAGTTGTGTTGCTTTATGGTTCTATCATATGTGGCTCTGCAATTGATTTTCACTTTGTGCATACAAGGTCTATTTAATTTCTACAACGGTTACCTAGTAGTCCTACATATGAACATACCATACTTTCAGCATACCTTTACCGATGGCCTTTTAGATGGCTATAATGGGCCTCAAAGTGGAGTGGTTGGGTCAAAGCACCCTTAAGCTCTAACTTCTTATATCTCTAGTACGCCATTTATTAGACTGCCTATCACAGGACCAGTCACAAAGATTGCCCCCCTAGTGGGCCGATGCATAAGGAAAGGAGAGGAGGTAGTAAGACCTGTCTGCTGCCCAGGCCAGACCAAATTTCACTTTGGGGTCCTGTCTATAGAGGAGCCCTGACAATCAGGAGGATGACAGCATGAGACATGGTTGAATGAGCTGGGGCTGTTTATCTCAAAAAGGATCTTAGGAAGGACGGGAACTCACACACACCCCCTTCAAAGTATCTGAAGGTCTGTCTAGGAAAAAAGATGCAACTTTTCCTGAGTTATCCTGGAGGAAATAAAGACCTCAGTGGAAGGGAGTTACATGAAGGCAGAGTACTCTTCAGTGTGAAGAAAAACTGAAGAAGAGGAGCTCTCTGACCCAGGTACCCTAACTACCGGTGGCTTGGCCCCAAAAAGAAGGAAACAGATTCATGGGCTAGCCTGATAAATGGCATCTATAGAACAATGATTTTCAACTAGCATGCTTTAAAAAAACAAATAAGCCCTATCCTTGAGATTCTGATTCCGCAGTTCTAGCCAGGACCCCAAGTTATAGATTTTTTTATCAAAATCGAGAGGATTCTATGGAGGACCAGAAAAAGGACCCAAATTTTCTAGCTCTTGGCTGAAGGTGCCTGGAGCCCCTGGGGCTGCAGCCTCTCACCTGCTGCAGCAGGAGCTCCGACATCTCCAGCTTCTTCTGCTGCTCCTCGATCCCGGTCTGCATGGTAGACTTCTCGGTCACCAAGACCCGAAGCTTCTCCTCCAGTTCTGACTTCTGCTGCTTCAGATCATCAATGATACAGCTGCGACCATGGGCAGTGGAGAAAGGCATTAACAAAGAACAGAAAGGACCACTCTGGTGATCACCCCACTGCCCTCACCAAAGAACCACAAAATAGTGGCATTGGAAGGGGCCCCGGGATCAAAAGTCACAAGTGACAGGCCAGAGAGAGCATATGTATTGCATGAGTCCAAGCCTGTCAGTAACACAGCTGGGATTAGCGCTGGCTCTGCACACATCCATGGGAATGACCGCTTCACCACGCCACTGGTGTCCCCCCCCACTTCCCAGCACATCACCCAGCCCAAGACACGCCCCCCCCTGGCCATCTCCCACCCCTTTCCTACTTTCTCTTCACGAGCTCCACCGTGAGGGTGTCTCGGTCTTTGGTTAATTCATCCTTCTGCTGCAAATAGAAAAAGGCCAGGTCAGGCCTGGGCAGGCAGAAGATGTAGCTCAGACTAATGGCAGCTACAGTAACTCCATAGCAACACCTCCTCACCCAGAGTCACTCCAGTTTTTCAAAGCACTTCCATGCCCACGTTCTCCTCTGCTTTTGATAAGAACCCGGGAAGGGTGGAAGGGGCAGGTAGAGAGATCTAATTCACAGCTGCCGACAGAGGCCCAGAGATAGCAGATAATATTGCTGTTATTACTATTATCATCATCACTTTTGAAGCTTCGTTGCGCGCTTTACCAGGCGCCGTATTAACCCTTTTAATCCTCACAAGCACCACAAGGGGCAGTTACTATCATTGTCTCCATTTTACAGGTGGACACCACGCAGCATCAGAGGTTAAATCACTTGCCTAAAATCACTTAGAGCTATGACTGAACACTCAGGTCTGTCTGATTCTTTAACCACATTTTCTTCCTGGGGTGGGAGCACAATATAAGAGGTGAAATGAAATTTGTATTGTAATCTTTTGCTTATTTTTTGAATGGGTGATAAACTGACATAGCCCTGAACTCAGAAGGCACAGGAGTGACATGTCTCCCAGTCACGGTGTTCCTCTTCCCTGGGTTTTTACAAACCATTTCGGACACGGCTTGTATATCACTCTCACACACACACCTCTCCCCTTTCTGCACACAGGGATGACACACTGAAAACGCTGTTCTCTACCTGTGCAGCCCAAGCACCTAGCATCTGGCCAGGCCCACAGCCAGTTGGGGCAGGGCTTGGCACCCAGTGCTCCTTGGGGAGAGAGCACACCCCAACCCCCACAGCACACAACTCACCCCTAGGTTCCTTCTAACCATCACACAACCTTAAAGCAAAGAGAAATGGCCTGGGCTCCCTTCTAAGCAGCAAGACACTCCATCCCATAGAAGGGACCTTGAGGCTGTGCCCCTTCAGGGAAGCTGTGCCTGCAGTGGCTGGGTGGGCTGCTAGGCTCACCCTGGTTGCCTGTTTCTGCTGCGTGGACAAGGTAGACACCATCCGCTCCAATTCTTTGATGCGCTGCTGGGAAGACTGCAGGCGACCAGCAAACTCCTCCGCCATTCCTGGAATGGCAGAAATGGAGCCCAAGGAGGAATGCCACTGGAGGCCTGCCCATGGCTACTGGGCTGAAAAAGGGCAGGGCGGCTAGGTTCCCACCTTCTCTTTTCCTGACTGCATGTTGAGTATGGTACAGGGCTGACTGTAATTCTGACTTCTCAGATACTAGTATCCCTATCGTCTGGATATGAACCTTTGGGAGAAAAGCCAAACAAGTGCTGAAAAAGAGGAAAAGAAATGTTCCTTAGGGCACATGAGGGAAGACCCGACAGTCCCCTCACCTGTAGCTGTTTTCTTAGAGACCCTCTTTCATTCGCAATCTTTTGTTCACATTCCTCTTTCTCCTGTAGGAAAAAAGAAACATATCTTACTGGGAGGAGACACAGATGAAATAGCAAATGACATGCCCCCAGAACGCCATCAAGGCCCAGGACAAGCCCACCAATGAGGCCAGATAGGGGTGGGGCAGGGAAGGATGAGGTGGGCCCTTTATTTTTGCAGGCTGGGAGCAGGCAAGACGAGAATGGGCCTCTACAGCTAAGTCCTCCCCAAGCCCCTCGGCCATGTAATGAGCAAAGAAATCACATTACTTTTCCTAGTTGGTCCAGTGTTTCCCGGTTCTGTTGTTCCTGTGAGAACAATCAAAGGAAGGTAACTGAAGTTATCCCCTTTACTATGCTCCCCAGACCAAGAAACAGGGATGGGCAGGGGCCAGGAATGGAGTTTAAAGGGAAAGTTCATGGGGAAGTTGAAGCAAAGACTTTGGGTCTTGAGTAGCTTGGCTCCCAGCTATAAAAATGAGTATCTCAATCCAGATTCCCATGAGAGAATAATGACATAAACCTCTAGAAATGGGGTTTGAGAAGGGAAAGACTACTCCTTCTGCCAGCTCATGATCTGGACAGGTGCATCCATTCATAGAATATTTACTGAGCACACACCACAGGCTGGGTTCTGTTCTCAACGGCAGAGATACAGGAACGAAAAGGACCTTTAAGTCTTTGATTTTTTTGAGCTTAAAGGGACCTTGGACAGCCTTTAATTCTACCTCCTCAGGAACCTGAAGGCCAGAGAGAAGTGACTTGTTCAAGGTCAAAGACAGCAAATTTGGGGCGGAGTCAGGGATAGAACACAATAGTAAAGCTAGTGCTTTCCCCAGAGGCAATAGAGCAACAGGGCAAGTGTGGAGAGGGCTCAAGCAGGGGTGTCTGGAGGACAGAGAGCAGGCAAAGAAGGAAGCCACAGAAAAAGCCATGCCACCGGCTCCGTGTTCTAGGGTCCCTCCAGCTAAGACCTAGGCCCCCCGGCACCCCATTCTCCCTTGACACCAGGGGCCACCAGCCCCTTTCTTCAGAGCCCCAAATTGGCAGTGTGGAATCAGGGGACCCCCCTTGGCTCTTACCAATTGCTCTATTCTGCTAATCAGTTCTTTATTTTTTAATTTGCTGGACTCCAGTTCTACTTGGTACTGGCTCTGAGGCGCATGCAAAAAGGAGGAGTTGGAGGAAGAGTAGGGAGAAAGGTAGAAAGAGCAATCATTAGGGTTGCGGGGGGGAGGGGGTGTCTGAGCTGTCTCAGCTGGCAGCAGGGCACCCAGCCCCTGCTTTGGGGGGAGGGGCTGGCCTACAGGGCCACCGGGCCACAGTCCAGGGCCACTCACCTCCAGCGCCTTTGTATCAGCCGATGCGAGTCCCTCCCCGTTGACATAGGGTGACTAGGAGAGATGAAAAAGTTCACATGGAGATGTTCTCTGTCCCCCTCCACACTTAAGCCCTCCAACTTCCTGTTTTCCCCATCAACTGGCAAAATGTTCTTTTTGCCTAAGTTGGCCCCCTCTTGCTGTAACCCCTTTGTGCCAACCTCTCCTGGTTCTTATCTCCCCCTCACCCCACCCCTCCCAAGCAGCTCTCATCCTGTGTTTTCCGCAGCAGGATAAAATGGCGTAGCCAATCTCGTGGTCCAGCTCCTTCATTTGAACAACTTCAAAGAGGAGACTCAAGGAGGAAGGACTAGCTAAACATTACCCAGCCCAGTCGGCTGCTCCCAGCATCTTCCCTTCCTCTTGGGAACCTCTGCCTCAGTTTCTATCATGTTTTCCCTCCCCCTCCAACCCCCTCTAGGCTCCAATTTCTGGCGTACCTCGGCAACAAGGCCATTGAGTTGTTGTGAAAGCTGACGCAGGCCCTCAGTAGATGAAAATCTGGGGATGAACACAGGAGTCAGGGGGGCAGGAGGCTCGATGGGAAAGAAAAGGTCACGGGCAGTGGCCTGCCCTGACTCCCTCAGCCTAGGGACTGCTGCCCCCATAGGAGACACTCACGTGTTTTCATCCATAGGACTAGGACCATTTTCAGCAACACAGTTCTGTTTGGGAAGAAACGCATGAGGTGGTCATTCAATTTCTGTTAAGAACCACCCAGGGGTGGGGTTAGCCAAGCTCATTCCGACAACCTTCCATCTTCCCGAACCTTAAGGAAAAATCTGGTCTTGGCCTCCCCCATCCCAGTCCTCAGGAAGGGTTCTTGGCCCTAGGAACCAAGCTACCTGAAGAAAGGGGACGAGTCCATAGTAGGTCCAGTCCTCTGGGAAAGAGGAGGGGCGAACACACAGTGGGGCAGTGGGCAAAGGGGGAAGAGGCACAAACCTGAGTTGATGCCATGCTAGTGACACGGGGGGGACTAGCACTTTGATAAAGGACACCGTCAGGGGACATGGTGTCATCAGCAGGTGGTTCTGCAGGAGGGGCGCGGTCTTTGGGCGCCTGTCACAGAACAGAGCAAGGGGTTAGGGGGTCATGCGGGGAAGAAGGCATCTCGCTGCCGTGGATGCAGGGGTGCGGAGCGGGTAGGACAGGTGTTGCTGCAGTGAGTGACAGTCACACATGCTGGGAGTCACTCTGGGGTGTGGCTGTGGCTCGCCCAGGGCTTGGGCTGCTCTGGGACCTTCTGGCCAGCCAGCGCTCAAAGCAGGACTGCACCGCCTCCTCTGTGAACACACGGGGGCCTTGTTCTCCCTGGCCTCAGCAAAAGACAGCACCAGGGTCTGACCTGTGGCAGCCACAGCAGGTGGAAGCAAGCTGTGCCAAGTCAGGGAGAAGGAAGGCACTGTTCTTCCAGAAAGCCTGCCTGTGCCTCAGAGTGACCCTCACCATGGGCCCCTGGTGGGCAGAGCGTAGCAGTGATGAAGAAGGAGACATGGTCATCACAGCTCTCTGCCTCTTTCCTCCCTCACCCTCCTTTCCTCCGTTCTCTCCTCCCCACCAACCACTGACTGCGTTTGCTCGACTCAGGCCTTTCCTGGAATAGAAGCTGCCCAACTGGAAGCCTCTCCCTATTCCTAGAGGTAAAAAGTAACACCACCGCAATCTCCTAGCTCTAAACACCTACCCAGCCAAGAAACCACCTAAGAAACCAAAGGTGAAAGATGTCCACCCTTAGACTCTGGGTTTCCTGAAGACCAATCCTGAGACTGAGGACCAGGAGCTGTGGAGAAGCTGCTCTGTCTTCCCCGACTGGACTCACTTGCTTGACCAGAGCCCCACCCAGCCTCCCTCCAGGCTCAGGCCTGACACTTTAGTCCAAGTCTCTGGCTCTACAGAGCTAATGTCCAACAGGCCAAAGGGGCAGAGAGATGGGGGAGATGGGTGACAAACTGAAGCCTGACGAGGAAACAGCGCTGGGGAGCCAAGGCCTGCCCAGTGAAACTGGGTCCAGAAGGAAGAGGCTGCATCTCTCTGTGGGGGCAGGGGGCCGCCTGCTCTCTCTCCACCCCTCAGTCCTGGCCTCTGAAAACCCCGACCTGCTGCCCTCCTAGGAGCAAGGGCTACAAAGTCTGAGGGAGCTGAGGTTGGGTCCAGCTAGTTGCATGTTTACTGTCCAAGCTGTGACCTTTGACCCTGGAACCTGGTGTTGCCTTGGCAACCTGCACAAAGGGTTAGGAGCAGGAATTCAGGCAGGAGACTTTGGAGGAGGTGGGCGCTCTCCCAGGCATGGGCCCTGGCCAGCTCTGGGTCCCTCTTGGCATCTTGGGTTCCCATTGATCTCTAGCATTAGACACAAGAAAGCTCAGGAGGGGAAAAAAGTCCTTTTCTGAGGACTTAAATATATACAACATGATCAAGTTGTGAGCAACCAAGTTATTTCATAATTTTAAGTCTTGTAGCTAGGTCTGGAGTTTTACAAAAACACTGTCCACTCCTCTCAAACGTCCTATTCCATTAAAAACATGTTTTATTTCTCCACGAGTCCCCATTTCTGGAAATGCTATCATTTTTCCCAGGCTACACAATCACAGGCCTACATTACTGGAGTAGAAAACTTAAGTGGGAAACTGTTCCTGATAAAGAGGATTTAGAAACAAGACGGGGCTATGGGATCCTGGTCTTCACTTCCAGGAGAACGAGGGATGTGGGCACAGAACATCAGTGTCAATACTCAGCTCCAGGACTCCTCTGGGCCAGCCTGCCCTCCCCGTGCTTCTCGGCATCTCCTCTGAGCTGACAAGGTGAGTCATGGCACCTAGAGAGACCTGGCCGACTGGGCGTGAGCAGTCTTGATGATTGAAAGACTAATACCAGCCAGCAGCGCCCTGTCCCAGCACCTCTCCCCATGCCCATCTCCAACAGGATCTGGTGCCACTTCAGTCCTACTTCTCTGACCTGGCAGATGTCCTCCGAGGAAGTTAATTAAAGAGGAAGTGCCAACATCACATCCGGAAAAGGTCAGCTCCTGTCCCAGTAAACACCAGGCTCCCCACCTTTCTGGAACATGCTCTGTGAGCTCATAATCCTGCTGTTACCCGCACCACGCCCTTGGCCTGGGACTCCCATCTCCCCCTCTCTCCACAGGGATGAATGTTACCTACCTCTAATCTTCAAACCGGACTCAAATGCCACCCCCTCCAGCCTCAAGTCCACTTAAAACCAACCTCTCCCTCAGCTGGGCATTTGGAATGTTGCCACATCCTAGCTTGCTTCCTTCAGCGGAGCCTGCCTCCCTCAGTGGGCATTCTCTCCGGCTCCCCTAGTTTTCCCCGGACCTAGCCAAGTAGCTCTGCTATCAAGGGCCCGCTGAATATGGTTAAGTGTCCAGTTGATTTGTAAAACAGACTAGGGGCAGGATGTCCTGGCCCCCACTGTTTGGTTAACCTCACATTCTTACAATTAGTTCCCCTGAAATCTCAATCCTTTTAACTATAATGTAAACTCCATTTCTCTTAACTCTAGGTTGCCGACTCTCAAATCAAAATGAATTAGTCAACTCGAAAAATCACAAACTGCTCTGCGGTCTACTGGTCTTTTGGGGACAGATGCCCACAGGACAAGACCTGAAGCTTTAGTTTTATTTAATGTCTCCTACTCTGAGATTCAAACTTGAGGCTCAAAAAGCCCAAATCCCACACACCTGCTCTGGAAGCTATTCCCAAACTACTTTTAAACTTCAAGGTACATCTCACCTTCTCCAAGATAAAAGGTGTCGGGGGAAGAAAAACAAAACTAAATCAACCAAGCAGGTGAGAAAGCAGACATGAACAGGCCAAGGGTTAATGACAGCAACACAAAATAAGCCAGAAGCAAAATATCCCTGAAACCAGGGAAGCCTTGGGGGCGTGCAGAGCTGACAGAGAGCAAGCCAGAGCGGGGTCTCGGCATGCCTCACCTTCCACTCGTCCAACGGGGGCAGCACGACCCCATTGGAGCGGTTAAGGTCGGACACCAGCACCTTCAGAATGTCCTGAATCTATAGGAGGTAGAAAGGGAAAAACAAGGGCAGGGAGAGAAAGAGAAAAGTGGCTTAGAGAGAGGCAAGAGGGGCAGGGAAGGAAGAAGAGATGGGTTCTGGGAAACAGAACGCTGGAGGAGAGAGAAGGTCAACACCACAGCCTGTGCCATCTTTCCAAACAGCCACTTGCTGCCTTGCCAGAGGCAGAAATCAATGCAAAGGAACAGATGGAAAACTCCCCTGAACGATGCACTCACAAAGAGTGGAGTTGCCTGACCAGCGAATATGCCCACTAGACCCTCTCCTCAGGCCCAGCGTGCTAGAGACGAACCTGGCAGGGCTCCAGACCCTCATCCTCTCCATTTAAAAACCAGACTTCCAAGTAAAGGTTAAACAAAGGGGATTACAACTAAAATATATGTTTGAAAGACATGATCTGATCCAACAACATCATCTTACAGATGAGGAAACTGAGGCCCAGGGGAGGAAGTGCCTTTCCTGAGGTCACCCAGCAAGCTGATGGCAGAGGTGGACTCGAAACTCCTAATCCAGTGCCTGGGGCTCTCTCGTCACCATACACGGGGGCTGCTCTGGTGCTTCCTAAAGGGAGAGCCTGAAGACAAGTGGCTTCCCCTTGACGCTGGGCATACGGAAAACCACCAGAGCAGTAAGTCCAATAGCGACTACCCTTTACTGAACATTTACTCCTCACCAGGCTCTGTGTTAAGGGATGACTATAAACACAACAATCTCATTTAAACTTCATAGGTGTAAGTAAGACAGTATTACCCAGATTTTAGTGATGTGGAAACAGAGACCCAAAGAGCTTAAACACTTTTCCCAAAACCATATCCCTAACAGAGGGAGAGAGAGGATTTAAACCCAGAATTCTTAACCAGTGCCTAACATTTCTTCCACAATCTAACCACTACCCTCTCGCCCTCTGAGCACTCCTATCCCCAGTAGCCTGGCCAGCCAAGACTCACCTCCTCAGGCGAGTGACAACCAACAGAAGTGGTTGTCTCAGGGTTACTGCCATGTTTAGTCTTCTTTTTCTTCTTCGTTTCTGAAGGAACACCAAGGTTGTTCTTCTTCTGAAACTCTCTCAACTGCAGAAAGGAAAAGCAGTGAGGCTCACAAGAACTATAAACCCCTGTATTCCCATCCTACTTGACAGTTTACAAAACACTCATATTTGACATTTGACTTAATGCCACAACAACCCTACAAGGTGCTGTAATTCTCACTTCATGACTGAAGAAATGGACAGATAACATAGCTTAAAAAAAAAAAGGCAATAATGGAATTTAAATTCAGTTTTCTGACTCTGAGCTCCAGAGGTTATGCCATAAATCAGTGGCTTCCAGGGGGGCAAAATTAGAGGCAGAGGTGGAAAAGGAAACATTTAAGTAATCAGACATGCGGGTCCTTTCTTATACACCTGTTAGAGATGCACACTAGTGCTTCTCAAACTTTGACATCAGTGTAGCCCAATGGCAGAAGGCAGATGAAGACACACCCCTAGTGAATCTGGGATGGTAACAAAGAAAAGACAACTCAAGCACCATTTCTGAGAGAAGTCTATTAAAATCTTACAAATCCATGTAAGTGTCATCCCTTAAGTACACTGATTAAAAAAAAGCCTTTGTCTCTCTCAAGAGACACCAGCAAAACGAATGCTTCAGTCCCATATTTATCCTGTGGCACTCAAGAGCCCCCCCATGTTGAGAAGATGACTTGGGGAAGATTCCCAGCTGTGAAGTGCAGTTTCCCGGGATCCGCTCCACAGAGGATTAAGCAGATCTCACACCAAAGAGCACTGACTGAGGGCCAATCTGGTCTCAGGATCATAGGACATGATTAGATCGTGAGGTAGAGAATGCAGATTAAAAATTAGAAACTCTCTCTGGGCAGCAGAAACAGGAGAAAGCCAAACTAAACACATTCTCCCCATTGTCACCCAGAGAATGTGGTCAACGTTTTGAGATCACTAGTGAAATGTAGACTTTTTACACTGTCAGTGTCTTAAAGATGGGGTACAGTCTATACAGTAAGCCTGACACCTCTCAGACCTAGGTCCCATAGTCCCGAGTCCCCTTCAAGCTGGAAATTTGTACCGCGACCTGAGAAAACGGCGAGTGAAAACACTAGGGGACTACTGGGTCGTTAGATCGAACCCGGCTCTAAAGACGGTTCCGAGGGTGATTGTGACGTAACTACATTCCACGCTTCCCTGTGGATGCCCGAGTCGCCGCTCCGCGGTGGGGGAAGGGAGCGCAGGGCCCCAACCGAGGTCCTTAGCAACTGGGAGTCCAGGGAGTCCAGGGAGCCCAGGGAGCCCAGGGAGCCCAGGGAGTCCAAGAGGTCCAGTTCTGGGTGGCAGGA